GAGACCAACACTTGCGAAAAGTTCGTCTACGGAGGATGCCAGGCCAACGGCAACAACTTCGGCACCCTGGAAGAATGCCGGAACACATGCTGGGGTACGTATTTTTCATGTGGACTGACATTTCACTGCGAACCAGGAGATTTCAGATGTGAGAGACAACCAGAACTCTAAATCTTCACCTTTTCATTCATTTCCGCGCCCCATGTTTGCCAAGTCACGAGACGCGGACATGAACACTGTACGATGTATAACCGCAGGATAAGTTTTCGATGGCAGTGCGTTGAATTAATTATAAACCATTGTGTGAGTGCATGACATCATTATGTTGTAAGCATGCGCGCAGGTTTATCACCTTAATAATAATACTACCTGAATACACCAGTACCCCTCGTGTTTCGTAGCTCTGAGCATTTGAGTTAAGCGCATATCAGCGGGATCACAAATTCATTGTCGTGTTGGTAATACTGGCACAAGTTTTAAAACTTGGTTCCTGTATTTCTACGGCACCGAATTTTTTTAAAGCAGTTAATCAGTGTATCCCGCACAACACCTACACCTTGCGGCCATTGCACTGCCTCCGTTTGGTCCTGCTGCTTAGTGAGCTGCACCCAGGATGCATTGAGAAGCAACAAATCGAATGTTATGTTCTCTTCCCGAACTGCCAGACAGTGACGACGAAAGAAGTCACAGTTTAGCAGTAGGGGTTGCTAATAAAAATAGAGAGGGGCGAAATCAAGCTCATTATGCTCTGAGGGAGGTCCGAGTACAAATGGAACTCTGTGAATATGCGCCATTTTAAAAAGGCAGGAGCGTATACCCTTTAGACGACTAATGGCGAGGTTCGCGTCTGCCTCGCTATTGTTAAATCGGGTAAACGACTCATTCGAGCCCCCCACGAACCAAGAGCTCTGCGTAATAGTGACTGTACCAGCGAGAACCCCTTTTAGGGGCGAAGCTCCTTATGCCGTGAGCTGTAGGTCGCGTGTCATCGTAGTCGTCGTAGTATCAAGTTGCATTGTATTGCATGTCAATGAAAATGGCCATTGATTGATAAGTGAGTAGGGTTTATCGTCCCAAACCACCATATGATTTAGAGACGCCATATTGGAAGGTTCAGGAAATTTCGACCACCTGGGGCTCTTCAACGTGCACCCAAATATGAGCACACGGGCCTACAGCATATCCGCATCCATCGGAAATGCAGCCACCGCAGCCGAGATTCGATTCCGCAACCTGCGGGTCATCGTCCGTGTACCTTAGCTACTAGACGACCACGGCGAGGCACGTTGTAGAAAACAAAGCCAGTAGATAACTTCCTTAGGATCAGATCTGGCGTAACTCTACAAATCGTGAGTGTATCGGAATACGCCCACTACACTCAGCAAAGCGGTTTTCGTGCTATCTTTAACGGAGCACGCATTGAGAACACAGCTTGTGCCTAAGGAGGTGATCTGACCACCCGTCTGCTCACTTCTATTGACAAAGCGCACATGCCGGTGCCCGTCAGATCGAACTTACCAGTTTTTACTTGAGCGAGACTGTTTTTTTCACTGGCCCCCCTTCACGCAGTGATCTTCGCTCAAGGAGGTACTAACACTATTTTTCGAAGGAAAATGTACTCTGCAATACATAACTACTTAACGCAATGATGGCTCTGAGCGAGTACGAAACTCTACAAATGCGGATAAAATAGTTTGCTTTGATTCTGTTGATGTACTTCGATGTCAATTTATCCACGGTGTACCTACCGATATCGACGATAGCTTCGCATTCACGCTACAGCACTGATTCTGGTGACTTCACGCAGCGGGCTGGCTAGTTCTGATGACCCCATGTATCAAAGCTTCCAAGATGGTCACTGGTGCATCACTTAGACATTCAGAATGGCCGCTTGTGCATCACCACCGTTGCCACAGTCCGGAGCGGCTCTGGAAACCTCACAATGTCTTTCGCAAGCATCTTACGAGAAGCTCTTACCATGTTTTCATGCCCAGCTACAGTAAGAACCAAGGCTATTTTTTTAAACATACAGTACTTACTTTTATTCCGGCTGTGGGGGCTGCATTTCCGATGGAGGCGGAAATGTTGTATACCCGTGTACTCAGATTTGGGTGCACGTTAAAGAACCCCAGGTGGTCGAAATTTGCGGAGCCCTCCAATTACGGCGTCTCTCATAATCATATGGTGGTTTTCGGGACGTTAAACCCCACATATCAATCAAACTGTACCTATTCTTATCGGGCCCGCTGATGATTAGTAGTACACTTTATAGGCTGTTGATGAGTTGGCTTTTCATTTAACGCAAAAAAAAACATATACTATTTTTTGTGTCAGCACGTCTTTAGTCGGCAAACGTTGGCATTCGGATGCTTTTACTCATACGTAAAACATATAACACGTCCTGTCATGTTATTTATTTGGGCTTTGTACGAAACATGAGGCGAACGGCAGAAATGAACCTCCGGTGTCCATGTCATTGTTATCATGTCATTGTTATCCCAATATAAGTGGGCATTTGCCTGCGTTCGTATTACCTCGCACATTATCGGCTCAGCAGAGGATCAGACAAAGAGGTCCACTGACATTGAACCGAATTTTTTTACTGAGCAGTATCCTAAATAGAGGCGGCTACTTGCAATTGTCCTTACTACGTCCATACAGCATCCCTGGACCAGCATTCTCTGGAGACCAATGGTGCCTTCGAAGTTCCGTTCTGGCCCTGTGAGTAACAATTTTGTTACGAAGAAAAATAGTTCAGTTCATTCTGTTCAAATATATATTTGAAAGGGAATGCGACAAACCAGTTTTTCGCTAACATTTTTCGCATTTGCACCTGCTTCCGCACCGTGCAAATATCCACATGTCAACAGGCATGTGAGCGATTTGCAGGCATGACAGTCTGAACATTGCGTTTGCAAATTAGCCGTAGTAAATCGTTTCAACAATATTTTCCCAAATAGACGCTGCAGCGACTTGCTAGACATTTTTAGAAAGATAAGGTACAGTGAATAAAGTTAAGAAAATAAGCTGCAAAATATAGGCAATCACCTTAATTTTAAATATATGTAATGAGATCGAACGACACACTGTTCGACATCTGGAAGCTGCACGTCAAGTTGTAAAAAATGCAATTGGTGGAGAAAAGGGTGGGGAGCTGCGGATCAGCCTTTTATACCACTTTTTCTGACATGTGGCCTGAATATTATAAAAAAAAGCTTCACTACTGTCACTCGGAGTACATTGCGAGAAATTTGCAACTACGTTGGGACAAAGCAACCAGCTCTCCCCGATGGTTGAATTGGTGCCAGTTTCACCTCACTGACAAGGCTAGCAAGGCAATAAGAAGGTGCGGAAGCTATTGTAGTGCAGCCATATAAGGAGATAATATTTCATAGGAGCTTCTTCAATCAGGATTTGTGTGGGAACGGACAAATGCGAACATATCGCGGTCGGTGAGCTGAACGCTTTAATATAATCTGGGATTCGACGTAAAGAAAAACTACCCTATATTATAAGAGGAAAAGTAGTGGAAGCCTCTGAAAATTTCGACCGTATGGTGTTTAACAGTGCACTGAAATATAAATAGGTGATCCTCAAGCAATTTCGCCTCTATTAGTAAAGTATCAGGCGAGAGCATATTATCACTCAGGCCGACCCCGCTACCTTTCTGTAACTAAACATCTCTCTCTTTCTTGATGACCACGATGTCAGCCACCGAAGTCTAGTTGACTGAAAAAGAAAAAACATGTACGCTTTACCGGCAACAGTCCTTCAGTGTACCTGGGCTCACTCATTCTCTCCTGTTCAGGAACATTCACGCACCTCTCTGTCACAGCACGCGTGAAGATGACTGGCATTTGCGTGATTTTTCCTAATAACACAGCATATCATAGGTCAGGCGGAGTAGGGTCTCATGTGCTCGCACTTTGCACGAACCCCTGCGTCCCCACAGATCTCTCTTGCAATGTCCATAAAATTCCTATCGCAATACAAACTACACTGTCTGCCTTGGTTCAGCCAACACGAGCTGGACGATAGTCTGCAGCCTGAATGAGGCAACAAACTTGGTCATTAAGTTCGAGAAACGTGCACTTGAATCACTCCTTGAAGATATTCTAGACAAATTGCCTTCTGTGGCGAACTCGACGGCCAACACAAGACGTCCCAGTGTTAAATTCACTGTTGTGTAAGAGGCGGATAAGCAACTACTCGCTTATGCGCATTAGTAGACGTCACAGTACACGCCCACGCCGCTCAGGTGGAACAGCTTTGACCTTTTTCGCAAAGGTTTCTTCAAATATTTCAGCGTAAATGAGTGATGCACGCATTTTACCCGCAAATCAGACATTCACGATACATTATGCACAATTATACTGTTGTTATATGACTTTATTGTGTATATCAAGAAAATATGTCCGCTTACCTATCCACCAATTTTATGTTTCGTGGCCACAAGGCTAGCTTTCACCATCGCCGCAACGTGGCAATAAAGTAAACAAAGCAAAGTTTTATGCGCTTTTTTCTTAACTCGAAAAAAAGGGGGGGAGGGGGGACTCCAATGTAACCCATAGACTTTCCGTTGTCAGTGTTCTACGTTTCACTGACGCATGTGGATCCTTACCGATCTTTATAGCAACTTTCACCGTCTTAATTTCTTTCACCTTGTAATGTGTGTGTGAGAATGACTCGTTATGTGTGTTTGCGTTCTTGTACTTTACCGCAGTCAACACGCAGCCGCCGTTGTTTGGAGGTACAAATGAGTGCTGGGCGAGTTGGCTTTGTTTCATGATGCTAAAAGGCCTGACGAAAGCGGCCCACGGGACGGAACGACAACAGAAGGCACGGCGTGTCAAGTTGAGGATCCAACGTGAGACGACGTGTTGAAAAGTTCAGGGCCACACAGCGTATAAGCCATCCCGACTAATTTCTTGCTCGAATATCGTTTTATATGTTATAATTGCGACACAATACTAATACGATTATCTGGTATTGTTCCGCAGTCGCGCCACCTGAGGAGTGTGCCTACTCGGTTGAGGCTGGACCCTGCCAAGCGTACATGCCTCGCTTCTTCTACAACACGCTGACCAAGACGTGCGAGCAGTTTGTCTACGGAGGGTGCGGAGGAAACGCCAACAACTTCCCCACCTTCGACGCGTGCGAGAAGAAGTGCAAGAAGGTCTCCGGAGTCGTTCCCCGTGCTTAAGAAATAAATTACTCCTCTGTAACGAGGATACACTTCGGCGAATTCAATTCGCGAGTGAGAGATAACCACAATCTCAACGTAGGCTAATTAACAACTCGCCACGTGCTGCGTGAGAGTAAAAAAGCGCATTTTGGTGAAGAGGCAAGTAGGGCCGGTTGCCTGAGCTTCACTAGAATAAAACGTGGGGAGGGTCGACGCATGCAGCGTCCTCTGGTGTTTCCCTATAGCAAATGTCTTAAGTGCTTTACTCGCCCTCGGTCCACTAACGCACCATCACATTGCCTATCGGTTTCAATATGTGGTCTCTCAAATAGATGACTCCAACCCTAGAGATGCACGTCTATGTCTCGTATTTTAGATAAGAAACCTGATGTCTTTGCGAACTTCGTCGGGAATGCATAACACCACTGCTAGTCGAAGCATAATGTTTTAGGCAGTAGCGATAAACTCATGATATGCTTAGCATGAACCAGGGGCGAGTGGTAGGGATGTACGGAATTTCGGTGACACCAGTTTACAACGGGCCATGACAGCGACATGACAAGGCTAACAAGCCAGGACCCGAAGATGCTTGGGCCCTGAAATTGTAAAATGAAATATGTGCACAATTCACCACGAGCAGTGTTTGCCTGGGTGCGATGTTAGACTTATCGTCATAAGAATTTGCGTAGACAGCCACTTGAATAGCCCAGTGAGAGGAAAACCTTGGCTTTCAATAGACTCCGCAATCCAAGCCTGATATCACATATTTGCAAGGTCATCAGAGTGCCCTGTACGGAGCTGTCACAGTTAAATAGATTAAAACGTTAACCATGCGACACACGCGAGTGTACGTGCTTCCCTGAAAACTAGAGAAACATTACGCATGACAAGCCGCACAAATGTAATATTGCTCAAAGGTAAACAAGTGTCAAAATTTTACGCCGAACCTAGTTTTCTTGACAACTAATCGGCGTAAATGCCAAGTATTATTATTTTTTTATTTTTATGATGGCTAGAAGCTTCTTGTAACGTTTCAAAATAATTTCTAGGTTTAATAGGTACATTCCTAAGTCCAGTTCCATGGCTACTTGACACTTATCATGATCGATTCACACTATTTTGAAGGTAGAAGGTTTTTCGCCAGCGCACCAACACTATATTTGTATCCTAAAGTTAAACGCTTCTTTGGCTGACCCTGCAATATTCCTATCTTTGCCGAAAAAAAAAACACTTGGAATTACATAAACGAATGGAAGGTCACTGATGAAAATTAGTTGTTCTTTACAAGTTTACCTCCGCATTCACTGTAAGCCCCCTTACTCAATGCCTTCAGGCCTGTAAGGTATTTTTCAATAAATAAATAAATAAATAATTTAAGGTGAAGGCGGACATACAAATGATTCATTGGGGCTTTGGTGATAGCTGTTGGTGACAGTAATAGTTATGCAAGAAATGGCTTCATCGATGCCCCACTGAGTGGAAAACCTTGGTGTTAGTAGACTTCAACCCCTGGGCCGTATATCACAATGGTCTTGGAGTTTACCTCCTTTTGATAGCTGTTTGGAAGGTAATTATTAGGTCCGTGAAGAGGGCCACAGATTCTACATCTTTCTAACTTAAAAAACAAAAACTGTTTCTGAAGTTTACTGGACTTTTTTCTAAACATTGAATACATAGCTTAGTAATGCGTATATGGACATTTCAACAATCTTTATATGCAGGCCAAAATACAAAATTTTGCTGCTGGAGGCAAAGACGCCTGTCGAGGTTTCAACCTCTGATAACTATTACAGTTCACGTCAGTGACAAAGTATACACATATCATACACAAAATATGCATATTTATTTTAAAATAGGGCATTGATCCGCCGCGGTGGTCTAGTGGATAAGGTACTCGGCTACTGACCCGAAGGTCACGTGATCGAATCCCGGCTGCGGCGGCTGCACTTCCGATGGAGGCGGAAATGTTGTATGCCCGTGTGCTCAGATTTGAGTGCACGTTAAAGAAACCCAGGTGGTGGAAATTTCCGGAGCCCTCCACTGCGGCGTCTCTCATAATCATAGGGTGGTTTTGGGACGTTAAACCCACATATCAATCAATTGAGGTAAGGCGTTTGGAAGCGGCAGTTATTTGTCAGACAAAATAGCAGCCTTTTTAACTGGCGTCGTAATGGCGGATTCAGCCTAAACGCCGAGAGAGCAAAAACGTCATTCTCTTCTCGTCCTGGCAAGTACCCGCTGCTCGCTGCCTCCTCGAGTAGCATTCATCTCTTTCACTACCTTTTTTCTCTCCCCCCCCCCCCCCCCCCCCCAGGGAAGAGCCAACCTAGGGGCACGAGGCGAAGGAAGGGTCGTAGTACGGTTTCATGCGGTCTATGTGAGCAGTCCACGACATCGTTGATCAGAGGATTGCACAAGAGGCCCCACGATGTCATTCACGGGTGTTGTTTGTTTGACCCAACAGAAGGGCCCGTGATGTTTGCATAAAGGTTTCGTTGAGACAACAGGTCTGCTTGAAGGGATCCAAAGCCATACTGAGGTCATCAGCAGCGTAGGATGGAGGAGGCGTCAAGGTATCGCGGTGGTGCTTTTTGCGTTGCTGATCAGCAGTGGTGAGGGAGTGGGCCAGCCGGCGACACTTTTCCGCGTATTTAGCAGCTTATGACACCGTCGTCAGCTCAGCAACAGCAAGGTGGTATAGAACGATGGTGTTTGGCATGCAAGAGGGCTCACGACCGTAAAGCAGGAAGTATGGAGAGAATCCAGATGTTGTCGGTAAAGCGGAATTATGGGCGTACGTCACTAAAAGTGAGAATACGGTCCCAGTTAGAGCGGTCAGAAGCGACATGCTTTGTTGAAGTTGAAGTTGAAGTTGAAGTTTATTTCGCCACAGTGTTACACCATACAATGTGTGGTGTGGATGCGGGAAAAAAGCTGCGATAAAAACGCAGCTTGACTAGCCCCACATGCCATCACTACAAGGCAGAAAAAGTGACAGCATTCATAAAGTCTTCGAAACAACTAAACGGATACAAATACATAGTTTAAGGTGGCACCAATAAGAAATATTGCATACATAAAATTTTAAGAAATGTTGATAGGATCGCGCTCTTTGAGGAAATACGAGAAATAGAAATAAGCAGAACATAAAAACAAATCTTTGGGACTGCCTAAATCTCTCTTGCATTATGAAAGTAAAAAAATATTCGACATATCCTGTCACGAAAGAAGGCGCAATTGCTCCAATGAAAAATTGAATTTATTTAGTATGTGGGGGAGTGAATGTTTCAGCATTTGTAGACCATAGTTTGTTCGGCATCGAGGAACCTTCCAATAATCACTCCGTCTAGTAGGTCGAGACAAGGCTGCTGCGCTCTAAGCGTGCCATGGAGATAAGAATGTTACTTCCTTTGTTAAATTCAGTTTTTAAAGACGCTAGTAAACAATATTCATACATGTTGTCAAATCTTACGACTCTGCTTTGACAGCATATCCCCTAATGTTCTGTTTAGTCGTTCTGAAATGCCATTTGCTGGACGATGGTACGCGGTGGTAGTCTGATGAATCACTTGGCATTGCTTGAGAAGAGATTCAACTGCGTCTGACAGAAACACGCGTCCCGGGTTACTGAGCAGCTCACGTGGAGCACCATGATGTAGGATGATGCGATGTAATATGAAAGAACCAGCGTTACTAGCCGATTCCGAAGGTAATGGTGAATATAGTTATAGCGCAAGAACATAACGACCACAAAGAAACAAGAAGGTTACGTTGTTCTATTCTCACGCTATAACTATCGTCATGTCATACCAACTAGCCCAAACTGCCAGACTTCTAAGTGCTGGTGAAGTTTCGGCATAGTGCGTATGATCGATGGCGACAATTATCTAACGATTTCCAGAAGGTGTGAGTGGGAGTGGTCCATAGAGATCAATACCAATGCGGTCAAAGGGTCTGGCAGGGCAAGTTAAAAGTAGCAGTCGATTTGAAGAACGCGGTGTTGGATTCTTGCGGCTCTGGCAAGCGACACAAGACTGGATGTAGCAGCGAACGAAGCGATACATTCTACGCCAATATAGCAGCGTTGTGACAGGCGTGTGTGTTTTTTTAACACGCCAGCATGCGCGCACTGTGGGTCGGCGTGAAATGAAGCGCATTTGTCCGAGCTGAGATGCGTGGGAATAACCAGGAGCCATCGATGTCCTTGAGAAAGATAATTTCTTCGATATAGCAAACCATCCCGGTAAACGAAGTGTTGTACTTGACGGCGCATGCCTCTAGTATTGTTTTACGAAGGAGAAAGACTCAGCAAGTTCAGTAGTGGAGCGATCCAGGGATATTTCTGTTTCTTCGGACGCATATCACTGACAAAAACTACAGACACATCGTGGGTTAACAGGCGGCGACGGCGTAGTGGTTAGAGCATCCGCCTCGCATGCAAGAAGTCTGTTGTTCACATCCCGGTCCACGCAGTTCCCAACCGGATTAAAAAAAAATCCGCGTGTTGATGGAACTGCATTAAGAGGCCTGGGGTGCGGCCTCACCGGTAACCACCGCCGGGAACGCACTCCCTCAACAGAGAAGGATTGGCCACCCTGGTGCAGTATCTGGCCACTACCTCCCACATGCATACGTCAAATAACTCACGGCCCTCATTCCCCAGCACCTGCGAAGCAACTGACCACGGCGGCGGTCAGATCTGCAACGCAGCAGAGGGTGATAAGAATCTCTGGATCCGGACAGGCCGCCATTGGAACCTGAACTTGGCAACGTTTAACGCTAGAAGCTTATCTAGTGAGGGAAGTCTAGCTGTACTATTCGAGGAGCTAGAGGGTGTTAAATGGGATATAATAGGGCTCAGTGAGGTTAGGAGGACAGATGAGGCCTATACGGTGCTACACAATGGGCACGTCCTTTGCTATCGGGGCTTGGCAGACAGAAGAGAACTGGGAGTGGGGCTCCTAATTCACAGAAACATAGCTGGCAACATAGAGTAATACTATAGCATTAATAAAATGGTGGTAGGTATCGCAATTAAACTGAATAAAAGATACAAGATG